AAGACAAGAAATTTCTCAAGTCCATCCTTGGACTCTTCTGGGATTCCTACTGACTGAGCAACAATTTTAGTTGAGAGACCTGCTTCTTCATCTTGCTCATCTTCTTGGAAGAAGAGAAAGTGGGTGTTGACGGTCCAGACGTAGATGTTCTGAAAATCAATGCCAGGTTCTTCCTTGTGGAACCAAACCTCTCATGGTTTGAGTTTGCAGAACTTGCAGTCTTTCTCTGGGGTGTCTTCAGGGAAGACTGAGGAGTGCTAGGATTGCTTGTCAATGATGATAGAGAGCGTCTATTTTAACCACAATGTTTAATTGTCCTGTTGCACGTTGTACAAGTAACCAACAATACATTACAGGAGTCTTTGTACTTTTTCCACGAGTTTTGCTTCTTTAAAAGTGAGTGTATAACCTTTTGTTGCTTGATTAAAAAGTCTCTGTATTTGGGGTGTCATTTTGAGCTTGGGTTTGAGACACACTTTAGAGTTACCCAACACCAGCAACTGGAAACAGTGGGGACATGTTTCTTCAAAAGTGTTCTTAGTATAGGAGATAGAGGGCCTGGCTCGGTCAGCTGGTTTGCAGTTTCTGCATCGCAGCCTCCAGGTAGCGTTTCTGCCTCATTGTCGTCAATCAGACCCGGGCAGACTGGAGGCATTGATTTTTCTTCTGTCCTCTTTGGTCATTGTCCATTCTCTGATGCATAACAAGTAACTACGATGACCATGGCCTTAACCAGGCTCATCTTAGTCTCTGAACTGACTTCATTGTTTTTTAGCATTCTGGAGAGGTTTCTGACAGCATATTTTCATGACCGACTCATCTTTTGATTTCCTGACTTTGGTGCCAAGATTGTGCAAACTCCTCTTTACCTCTCTTATGCAATATCAATGTTAGTTACTTATAGTCTCCCTCTTTTATTACTGTTGAGTCAAACCAACTCATAGCTACTCCTCCAGGGGTTTTTTAATAGGTATAAATTACATGAGAAGAAACTGCCTAGCTATATCCTTCAGTCAGCGGGTAGATTTGAACCATCTGACTTTGCACTGGCAGTACAACTTTTTGCCCACTAGGCCACCAGAGCTCCCTTTCCCCCATGATAATTATGGTCACACAAGACTGCAGTAATTAGCTTCTTCATCTGTTGATCCGGAGGCATGAGCAGTCCAAAGTGGTCAGGTGGCATTCTAACTTTCAGTTCAACAAAATCAGTACTGTATCACCAGAACTAAAACTTAGACTCAACTAAAATTAGAAGGAAAATGTCCAGATCTGCAAATCATAAGATTGCAAGGGCAGAAAGAAAATATTTTACAGGTGGGTTATAAGAAATAATAGAGAAACATGTCACTCCAGTTTATAGCCCAGGAATCCTGCAGCTAGCTATGAATCCTGCTCTTGAAGAAACTGTCCTAAATATTGGACGTTAGTTTGAAGCATACGCAGCTCGTGATGAACATTTCCCAAATCATGAAAAGTTACGTCACATCCAGAGCAAAGGCTGCATAGTGGAGCGGACCTGGGTGGGGGGATTGTAAAACAATGAAAGACTTTTTCTTTTACTTTTCCAAGACGGTAGTGTACTGAGGGGGAGGGTTGGGAGGGGAGAAAAGTGCAACAATGAATGAATGGAAATCCAAAGTCTCTGTAAATTTTCATTGAAGTTAATAATAAAAAAAGAGAGAGAAAAAGTTATGTCACATAGCTGGCACCTTAATTGTGCCTTTATTGATTTTTTTTAATAATAAAATTTGTTATTTTATGTTGATATAGTTTTTTTGCTCCCCCACCCCCCTTGTGTACCATCAAGTCAGATCTGACTGGCACAGGAGGAGATTGCCCCTTCTTCTCCAGTGGAGCATCTGGTGGATTCAAACAGCATGCCTTTGGAATTGCAGCAAAGCTTCTTACCTCTAGGCCACCAGAATTCACAAAATTTGTTATTTTAATGAAAGTTTTCAGAAAAGTTGGATTTTCATTCATTCATTGTTGCACATTCCCTCCTCCTCCAGTTTACTTTCTTTGGGTCTTTTTTTTTTTTTTAAATTATTTATTTTTGCAGTTTCCTCATTCTCTCAGTCCTCTTTGCAAAGTGACTCTTATTCTGACCTGTTGTCATACATATAATGCCTAATCATATGTTCTTTTTAAGCAGTTCTTTCCATCACCTGTTCCAACGCAGTGTTCACTATCTGTCCACTCTTTTCCTGTACTCCTCCTATTCTAATTGTGCCTTTGGAAGGCCCACCTTGGTTTCTAGATGATATCATTGCTCTTCAATACTCTGGAGATGTCTCTGACAGGAAAATTTCCCCAAAACAATTTGTCTTTTGATTTTCTGGATGCTGGTGTCAACAGTGTTGATTGTGGAACCAAGCAAGCTGAAGTTCTTAACAATCTCAATATTTTCACCTTCTGTCCTGAAGCTGCCAATTGGCCCAGTGGTGAGAATAATTTTTTTTCTTAATGTTGAGCTTCAATCTTTTTTTGAACACTACAGTCCTTGACCTTCTGCAGCAAGGACTTCAGATTTTCCTCAGTTTCAGTAAGCAGATTGTATCACATGCATAATGCAGGTTGTTGAGGAGCCTGGCTGGATAGTGTGATAAAATGTTGTTAAACTGCTTGAACATCTACCAAAGCTAGCCAACTTTTTTTTTCGGTTCTTTGCATGCCATTATTACCACATTGGAGAAGTGCAAAAATGTCTTCAGAGCGTGAAGACTTGCATTCACACTTTAGCATGAGTTACCTCTGATTCTAGATGAACTCAAGGTACAGAGAGGTGTGGATGTTTGGGTCAGAAGGGTAGAGTGGAGGCATAAAGCACCCTGTGCTATTACTATAAGGGCCTTGACTACTCTGGAAAGGGAGGCTTCAAGGTTTGAAAAGGAAAAGGACTTACTCTTTTCTGACACCTCTCTTCTGCACCAAACAGGCTAGTCCTGTTAGACAAAATGAGAACCTCTATACCTACTCAATCTGCTTAATTCAATGCTGAGCAAAAAATTTTGAGCTGAATTGTATGAAACAGAATGTGGCATCAGGATCATCAACAACCTTTGTTATGCAGATAACACAACTTTGCTTGCTGAAAGTAAGGAGGATATGAACCCTTGCTGCAGAAGATCAATGGCTACAGCTTTCAGTATGGATTACATCTCAACATCAGGAAAATAAAGGTCCTCACCACAGGACCAACAGTCAAGATTATGATAAGTGGAGAAAGGATTGAAGCCATTAGTGATTTAATCTTGCTTGGATCAACAATCAACACCCTTGTTCCCAGCAGTCAGGAAATCAGGATATGTGTTGCACTGAGCAATTCTGCTATCAGGGATTTCTCCAAAATGAGGAAGAACAATGATGTGAGTTTGAAGACTAAGGTGCACCTGATTTGGATCATGATTTTCTCAATCACTCACTAAGCATTTGGGTGCTGGACAGTGAATAAGGATGACAGAAAATTTGATGCCTTTGAGCTCTGATGTTGGAGAAGAATACTGGATAGCTCATGGACTGCCAAAAGAACAAACACATAGTTTTAGGAAAAGTGCAGCCAGAGTCCTCCTTGGAGGCAAGATGGTGAAGCTTCATCTTTCATACTTTGGACATGTAATGAAGGAGAGGAAGATTCCTCGACAAGATGGATTGATATAGTGACTTCAGCAATGAGCTTGAGGGTGTCAGAGATGATGAGGATAGGGCAGGGTTCAGGTTGCTTGTTCATAGGGTCGCTAGGAGTTGTACTCAACTTGATGGCACCACTAGCAGCAGCAGCAACAACAACAACAACAACTACAACCAGAGAAGGGGCCACAAACCAGAGCTTTTTTGATGAAGACAGTCTGTGGATGAAGTTTTTGTTCTGCACGATTATTTCTTCTTTTTAAATTGAACCAAAATTTAAAAATAGCATTTTCACCTTTTTGTGAAAATATCAGATGATCTGGCAACACCTAGTCGCTCATTTTCATCTGACTGAGGCCAAGTATCAGTTACTCCCTTTAGACGTACATTTCTTGCAGTTTTCCACACTCCCCACCATTCCCCTCACTTTCTTCCCAAAACTGGGAGCTGAAGTATTAATAGACTAATCTGATTCTTCACTCATTGACAAGACCTTTCTCTTCCCTGTGACATTTGTGGGTCTGTGACCTCTGGCTTAAAGATCAAGCGCTGTGGCTTTGAATCAAACGTGAATTGAGATCTTATTTCTCCCAATTCTTGGATGAGAGGCCTTAGGAAATTATTTAACCTCTGCAAGCCCAGCCTCAATTTTCTACTCAGTAAAATGGGAGCAAGTGCCTTATTAAATTCAACGAGGTGGAATCAAAGGTTAAGTGAAAGAAGACATGCATAGCACAATTTTTAAGAGCCCTTATCTGTATCCACCAGTAGTGCAAGGTGCAAGGTGCATATTGAAACCGTGCTAGTCCCAGTGCCAAGCCACCGTGTTGGTACATAGCAAGTGCTCAGTTAACTGTTGGCTGAATTAATGATGGGTGAACTTAGCGAGGTTTAACAAGCTAATTGCACTTGAAGGTAATTTTAATAACATTGTCTCGCCAGGATCCTAAGGTGGCCCGAGTGTTGTGTGTGCTGTCTCAATGACAACACTGCAGGGTCTTGCCACATTTAGACGGGAGTTTGGGCTGGAATTGGCCCAAGATCAGAGATGCTCCTCTGGAGCCAGGCGGAGGTGGCTTGCCCAATACCAGTCAGGGCTGTGCCCATCATCTCTCTTCCAGGGTCCAGTAAGACGTGGCATCTTGATTAACTTGCATCTTCCTATTGCCTTGGCCATCAGATCAGCAAAGACAGGGATTCACCCTACCCCGAGGTCAGCCACTCTGCAGGAGGAGCCCAGGGCTCTCCTACGGGCCTGGACCATGACCACATTAGACATGGCCCCTCTCGGGCTTCACAGGGCAGGACAGCGCCCGGAGCTGCGAATCATCCCGGCTGGTGAGGGAGGAAGCTCCGTTCCCACAGCTAACATGGCGGCCGCGCGGCTTCAGCGCGGGGCGCGGGGAGCGCGGCGCCGGGAGGCGGGTCACGTGAGCGGCCCAGCTG